GTGCCTATTCTTAAATTTCACTCCAAACATGATGGAGCCGAGGTGGATTAGGATCTTTTTTTCAGGGGCCTTGGATTGCTCGCCGGGGAATTTCTGGCACCACTCTAGAAACAGGATGAACAATCATGGAGCTATAACAGCTCCATGGTATACCATATAATTGATATTGCAAACAAGTAAACCCCCATTCCTGAGAAATACATGCTAGCATTCTATTCCAAGAATATTTAAAACAAAGAATGCTTAGACAACTCTAGTAATAATAAACGTGTCATCCAGTTTCCATTCAGAAATATTTGCCACCAATAAGTTGATAGTTTTTGGACTTCAGATCAAAATTGAAAAGTGATCAAAAAACAAACTGGTGGTAGGTAGCTTTACTTTGTGATTGAGTTCAGGTATTACACAAAGCATCAATACCTTTGTTAATTGAATGAACAAGTCTGAATATAAAAGTTCACTCTGTTGTTTTTGTGGATGACGTTGGTTCTGGAAACTTGCAAGGTGTAATCATCATACCAGATGTAAGGTCAATGGCAGTTCCTTCTTTTTCCTGGAAATAAAAAATAATAATTATAGGTGAAGGTAGTTGGAAATGACCCTCACAAGAGAGCAGCTTAGCTCAGTCAGACAAACTGGTGGTAGCCCATCGCTGCTCTCCTTGAGTTTCAGCTGGAGGGCTGACCAGCAAGTTAAGATAACCTACCAACTTTTTTTTTGACAATTTTGAATTCTATTATATATTTAATTGTACTACAGCACAATATTAGGTACACTTTAAATTCATTAAAATTTTTGCACCAAAAGATTAATATAATATTTTGCCAAATGAAAAATTAGGACACTTCATTTCACTATTACTTGCTTATTGACCTTTCATTTATTCCTTGCTTGTGTGTAAAATCATTCAAAAAAAAATGTTGTGGTGCCACTACTTTCCCAATCAGGGAGAAACGATGTCCCAGAACCTCTGACAGGGGTCCAGGGGGCTAAGCTCCCGGAAGATCTAACAATTTAGTAATTTTAAATGCTTAAGGCCCGTAATCGATCTTACAGCCTCATATTCGTTAAAAGTTACACATTATTTTTCCCTAATGAATATAAGAGAGAGCTCCCTCTGACGGGAATCTTTCTCTGCAACTTGCACGACGACTTAATTTCAATTCTGGCAAAATTAGACATTTTTTGAGAACTGACGGTTTTAAGTACAGTATTTAGCATGATAAAGTGCCACATTCAAAGCAGTCCTCAAATAATTGCATAAGCCTAATAATAAGCAGGCTTATTCAGATTTGAAACACAAAAATTAACATATTTTCATGCCAAAAATATTTTCAGGGTCACTGAACGTTTAACGTTTTTGGTGACTGGTAATAGAATTTGTCATGTCTTCCTTTCTTTGTGCAAGCGTAACTGTGGGCGAAGTATCGTTTCCTGAATTGGGCTTTTTTCCCCCATCAGAGTAAAACTAGATATTTTTTTGCTATCATATTGACCTTCCTTCTTGTGCCTAACCAAATATTGTTACCTGCTCAACCAAAATACCAGGGTTTTAAAGCCTAAGCATTTTGCCTGTAAAATCTTGGGTCAAATCATAAAAAAACAAGTCTCTGATAAGGTTTTTTTTTTAATTTGCTATGTAATATTTAGCTGGTAACAGATTTAATTGTTGATCTTTGTGGGGGTCACTCCTACCTCACACATTGGCCCAGTGTTGTGTTTTGGCCTTCACTTTATTGAAAAAATATTCATCGAATGGTTAGTTATTTTACTTTCTTTAAATATAGTTTTTTATAATTTAATTTTTTCTCGCAGGCCAGAATAATTTGCTTCGCGGGGTAAATTTGGCCCGCGGGCCGCCTATTAAGAACCAGGGCTGTATATCTTTACCATTTACTATTTTTATAAGAAAGAAAAGAAAACAAAAACTCACTGCTTTGTAATCTAGAAACATTTCTTTAAAAGATATGAAGTCACTGAATGTTAACAGCATTTCAAAAATCTCGCCATCAAGTTGTTTCTTTTTTGACCTCTTTCTGTAAAGCAATACAACCATGCAAAATGTAT